TTGGGGGTTTAGGGGTTTACGGTTTAGTTTAGGGTTGAGGGTAGGAACTTTGGTCCTAGTAAGATCGGTTATCGACTTATATAAGTCATGGTTATTTCTGGGTATTTTGGCGTTCCAGGTACTGTATCGAGTTGCAGTCCAAATCGGGAGGCTAGGAAAGCTGTTTCCCAGACTGCCGCCCATGGATAGGGTTTAGGGTTTAGGGTTTAGGGTTTAGGGTTTAGGGTTTAGGGTTTAGGGTTTAGGGTTTAGGGTGCGGTGGATGCTAGCCGTGGTTTGCGCATCGGCGCTACTCTCCAATGCGCCTCATTTCCGTCTCGTCAAGTCCAACCCAAAGACCAAAACTCCCGAAGCTATCGCGACTCAAAACCCCAAACCCTAAACACCAACAACCTCCTAAACCCTACAGCCTACCTTTGGCCGAAAAGACCTACTTTTTTAATGAACTGTATATAGAAGCCATGGTAGGGAACCCTGAAAAAGCAGGTCTTTTCGGCTACAAGTAAGTCCTGAGCTTCAAATCCTAAACGCTCAACCCTAAACTCCTAAACCCTAAACCCTATACTCCTAAACCCTAGACTCTAAACCCTAAACCCTAAACCCTAGAGCCATAGGTGCAGAAATCCGACAGAGCTCTTTTCACGGTATCGGTTCAGGGTACCACTTCGGGCCTTTCCGGCTTGGAAGCCTTCTTTCTTGAAGGGCCTAGGGTCTGGGGTTAGGGCCTAGGGTTTAGGGTTTAGGTTTAGGGCCTAGGGTTTAGGGTTTAGGTTTAGGGCCTAGGGTTTAGGGTTTAGGGTTTGGGGCCTAGGGTTTAGGGTTTAAGGGTTTAGGGTTTCGGGTTCAGTTAGGGCTTAGGGCCTAGGGGTTAGGGTTGAAGGGGCGTTGGGATTGAATGGTTGAAGGGTTGAGAACGGCTCCTAGAACACCTGAGACACGGGCCCTACCAGAACCTACTTTTTTGTGGAGTCCCTATAAATTCCACCTTAGGATCTAGAATAAGAGCCTTGGGTTTAGGGTTTAGGGTTTAGGCAGGTTAAGGTAAACCAGAAATCCGAAGATCTTCACGCCACGCGTTCCGCAAATCCTTCACGCTGTTGCCGCAGCAAACGGCCATGAACCCGATCGCACCCTAATCTCTAACAGCCCTAAACCAGAACTGCTCTCAAACCCACACTCCCTAAACCCTAAACCCTAAACCCTTAACCCTAAACCCTAAACCCTGAACCCTTGAACTTCTTGGAATCCGATGGCTGCCACCAAGGCACCATTATTATTATTGTTGATGTTATTTCGATTGTTGCAATCGAAGAGGGAGTCGCAGGCGACGTGAAAGCACTTGGAGGACATGAGTGTCACCTCCCAGGCTTACGGGTTCAGGGCGCTACTAAACGTATACCATATGCGTTTAAGGTTTTCTGTAGTATCATCATGGTTTCCGCTTGCAAAAATATTACGGGTTATATCTGTCTGTCTGCCAGTCTGTATGTACCTATAGTCTCCATTGTAGTTCCTTGTTGGGGATACCTTATAAAATCCTTATTATGTTGTTGGTTAACCCAAAAAATGGAACTACAATGGAGACTATATAGAATTTCGTGTGAGGCCGGAGCCTCTAGCCCTGACCCCCCAAGCCCTGAAGCCTGAATTTCTAAACGGTTTAGGGTTTAGGGTTCAGGGTTTAGGGTTTAGGGTTTAGGGTTCAGGGTTTTGGGTTTAGGGTTTAGGGTTTAGGGAACAGGGTTTAGGGTTTAAGGGAAACCCGAGACTCTAAGTGAAAATTCTCTACATGGGCGTATAGGAAAAGGCTTCAACGAATTTGGGCATTCAGGAGTGGCGTTGCGGATTCATTACCAAACCTAGAGAGTCTACCTTGGTCGCCGAAGTAGAGTTTTCAAGATTTGGGTTTAGTGTAGGGGTCTAGAGTTTAGGGTCTAGGGTTGAGCGTTTCGGGTTCTCCTAAACCCTAAACCCTAAACCCTAAACCCTGGGGGATGGTGACGTGAGGGCTTGGGCCGCCGGACTGGATGTGTAGCATGGGCCTTCCGAAGCCTAAAGCCCGGGGCGCCGAAAGAAGAACGGCCCTAAACGGTTTCAGGTTTAGGGTGTTGTTGCTTAGGGTTTTAAGGTTTAGGGTTTAGTTAGGGCTTTAGGGTTTAGGGTTCAACCCTAATAAAGCCCTAAGCCCCTAAACCCTAAGCCCTAAACCCCAAAAAACCTGAGCCAAACTCCCTCGTCGCCCGTAAACCCCAAGGCCTGCAGTCCAACCCCAACACCCCTAAACCCTAAACTCAACCCTATATAATGTAATTAGGGACCTTAATATTTTGAATAGGGTTTTGGGGGGTTCCTCATTATGGTTATGGTATAAGATACCCGCAAACCCCATTCTAATTATTACGACCCCTATATTGCCCTATACCCTTACCTAATATGTCACAGTATAGTACTAGAAGATGATATGATATGAGATAGGAACCCGTACCCTAAACCCTTAACATAATGTAAGATACAAACCTGTATCCTAAATCCAAAATCCCCAAAAGGCTTCCGGACCCGACATTCCCACCTGGGAAGAAGTCGCAAGCATGGTGCAGGCCATGGTGATCGTTGTTCCTTTGACCTGAGCTTCGTTACCCAAAGATCTCAAGGGGCTACGGGCGGGTTGTGTAGAAGAGGGCGACTAGGGTTTAGGGTGTCCTTGCAGGCTTGGGGTGCATCACTACGCATGTGCTAGGACAGAATAATGCAACTTCTAGTGGCACTGAGGAGAATCTTCCACAACAGTCATGACATGCAAGGATTCTACAGGATTCTTTCACCTATGGAGCTTTCCTGTAGTCCCACACCCTGCAAAAATAGTACCAGTAAATTATGATCCTTTAAATATAGGGCATACCCCGCGAAACAGTAGGTTATCTGAAGGATCCTGTCCCTAAACCCTCAACCCCCAGGTATTTTCCCTACCCCCTATAAACCCTAAACTTGCATCGGCGGCGAAGCATCAGTTCCCTGTTGGGGATATATTAAAACAGATCTTTTTTGATCCTTATTGGGGTTTCTTTTAGCAAAAATGCAAAATTGTATCCAACAAGGACCCAGTTAAGGCCAGGGTTCGGTCTTTTTTGAAGGCCAAGGTTCAGGGTTCAAAGGGTTCAGGGTTGTGGGCTTCAGTGTTCAGTGCTTAGGGCCTGATTATACGGTCTAGGGGTTCAGGGTTTAGGGTTCCAGGATTTTGGGGCTGAAGGGTTTGGGGGTTCGGTGCTGCTTGTAGGGTTTAGGGATCTAGGGCCCAGGGATTTAAGGGTTTTATATAGAGGCCTTAATAATTTTGCAATAAGGAACCCCAGAATAATGTAGGTAGTTGTTAAGACCCCTATATTGGCATTTCAGGCAAGCAGCAAGGTTCTCGAACTTTGACGTGCCACAGCTGGCACCGACACCCAGAGGTGGCTGAGAGAATGGCTGCGAAGGCCGGCAGAAGCGCAGTTCAATCAGTCACTTTAAACGAACTATGGCTGTGTCCCGAACGAGGTCTCTCGCTTACCGTTCTTCATTCCTACTGCTCTCCTTCATATCAGTTAGTGCTTCCAGTACCGCAACTCACATATACACCTACCGTTACTATACCTCATGCTGAGAAACCGGTTTGGACAATTTTCATGCTTGTCAGCGATACTACTGTGCATCACTGTCTATGATCCAAGCTTCCGAAACGACTCATGTGGGAGCTCGGGTTTAGAGTTTAAGAGCGCTTGCGCTAATGTAGGGGCCTTAATAATTAGAATAGGGTGTTGGGCCCATTATACTAGAATTATGAGAAGGAGTCCCCAAAATAGTGTTGGTAATTATTGAGGCCCCTACATTGGAGCTTTGAGGTGAGTAGTGATGTAGACGTTGAGGGTTTCTGGTTCGAGGGCTTGGGGTTGGATTAATTGCGCTTTGGAGGTTGGCGCACTACCCCCTAAGATTTTGCCAGAACCTACACAACATGCAGGATCCCGCTGCTAGACCAGGTACCCCGAACACAGGCTGCTGACTTTAAGCAACCCTAAACCCTAAACCACTAAACCCTTGAAGCCTACACCCCTAAACCCCTAAGTCACAACCCGTGATAGATAGGAGCTGGTAGACCGGTATACCTCCTAGCCACGGTCCTGCGATCTGAAATTCTTCGGCCCCAACTCAAAACCCAAAGCCCATAGGGTTTAGGGCTTAAGGGTTTAAGCCCTAAGCCCTAAACCCCTAAACCCCTAAACCCGTAAACTGAACCCTAAACCAAACAAAACCCTAAACCCAAAACCCCTAGACTCAACCCTAAAGCAAACTAAACCCTAAACCCTAAACGCCTAAACCAAATCCTATACCAAACTAACCCCTAAACCCTAGACCCCTAAACCCTCACAAACCCTAAACCCTAAACCCTAAACCCTAGCCATCGACCCCTAAATCCCAAGCAACCCCGGGCCCTAAGGCAGCCAGGTATCCTGCACTTAATTTCGGGTTTAGGGCTTAGTGTTTAAGGGGGCTTAGGTTTTAGGGTTTAGGGGAGTTTAGGATCTTAGGAGGGTTTAGGGTTTAGGGCTTAAGGTTTAGGGGTTTAGGGGGGTTCAGGGTTTAGGGGGGTTTAGGGTTTAGGGTTTAGTGTTTAGGGTTTAGGGTTTAGGGTCTATAGGGCTAGTGAACTCAAGAAAGGGATGGTTTACATGGGAACTTGATGCAAGGAAGGGCTATCTTAATGAGAACCTAAGTCTACGAAGGGATCCTTGATTTAGGGTTTAGGGTTTAGGGTTTAGGGGGGTAATGGAACTCCTAAACCCCAAACACACAAGAACAACTCTAACACCAACTTTCGCTGATCTGAGGCTACACCGTCAATCCTGAACCCTAACTTCAAGCCCTAAACCTCCCCTAAAGCCTGAACCCCCCCTAAACCCTAAACCCGAAACCCTAAACGCTAAACCCTAAACCCTAAACCCTGAACCCCATCTTCGTTGATCTGCGCAGCTGAGGAGTGTCATCGCCGGAATCTCAACGGCCACCATCGCCAGGAGGGCCAACCTCCCACTCTCGTTTGGGTAATGTAAGAGCCCTAGACCCTAAACCCTAAACCCTAAACCCTAAACCCTAAATCCTAAACCCTAAACCCAAAATCCTGAAGCCTAAACAGTTCGAGTAGGAGTCCTCCGAAGGTTCCTTTACCGGGTTTAGGGTTTAGGGTTTAGGGGGTTCTGTGATGTCGGGGCCTTGAAACTAGAATGAGAGTTCTTTAAGGAGATCCTTAGGGGATCTATAAGGGTTGCATCTATAAGGCTTCTATGATAGAGAGGCCTTTGTGAACCGGGTTCTGCAAGGATTCCGCGGAAGGACCTAGAAGGGTTAGCTTAAAGGTTCTATGATATGAGGGCCTTCATGTTTAGTACCGTGCCCTTATATGGGTGGCTAGTATGAGGGTTCTACAGTTGGGGAACTTGGGGTGGGACTTAGGGACTCAAGGGTTTAGGGTTTAGGGTTTAGGGTTTAGGGTTTAGGGTTTAGGGTTTAGGGTTTAGGGCTGTAGGGTTTGGGGCTTCTACGGCAGAGTTTCTGCAGGGGTCTTCTGAAAAGGGCTTCCTTCAATGTATGGCAAAGTACACCCTGGGATGGGGCGTCGCAAGATTTGCGGCTGATACTCTGGTGCTATAAGGTTTCTTTAAGGCTTCCTCTAAGGGTTCTACAAGGTTGCTTTTGGACCTTAACCCTCAGCACGAAAATCTGAATCCATTGTAGAATGATAGAGGAGCAATCCAGAGCGGAACCCCAAACCCTGAACCCTAAACCCTCCGTATCCCCAGCTGTGGATCCCCGCATCGCGGAGATGGCATAGACTGCGGCGAAGCTCAGCAGGGCCGAGGTCGGCGTAAGAGCTTGCCTCAGTGTAGAACCCCTGGTTCATATCCTCCTGCTCCACACCCTAAACCGCAAACGCTGAATCCTAAACCCTAAACCTGAACCCTGAACAATAAACCAAGAGGATTCGACTAACGAGGCCGCAATAAAGACTTTATCGTTTTAGGGTATATATTCTCTTATAATTCTAGTAAGGAATCTTAACAATCGCAATATTAGGCATTCAGGCTGCTGTATGAGTCTTCGTTTGCTGTGTCGCAGATTTATATCAGATTGATGCACATACCGCAGATACGATCACATATACTTGGTTATATATAAATACATATGGGTATCCTCGTGATCATACGTGAAAACACATAGCACTTGTCATAGCATATGTCTTCAGTATATGCAATGTATATTAAGTATATGTATACACCTATATGTTTGTATTTCTATATATATATATATATGTTATGTGTATATACATATATACATGCACGACCCCCAGAGGCCAACTGCATGCTGACCACGACCATCTTTCAGCTCCTTCGAAGCTGAAGAAATTGCCGCTGAGGTTCAACGACTTCAGTCCGAGTCCGGCAGGGACAAGGGCAGCTCGCTCTTGGGGTATATTCTACTATAACTATAATAAGGAACCCCAAAATAAGTATATACTATAACTATACTAAGGACCCCCCCGCAAAAAAAAAGACAAATACGGATGAATATATATATATATATATCCTGCATTACCCAGAATAAGGAATATGT